GATCTGTCCATCCATCCATCTGTCCATTCACCTACCCATCTATAATTCATCCATCCATCCATCATCCATGTATCATTCATCCACCTATCCATCTATTTCTATATCACCTATGTCTTTGTGTGTCTCCCTAGCTTTCTTTTACTATCTAACTATGCTAATGTCTGCCCTTCTGTCAGTCTGTCTGTCCTTCTGTGTATCTATCTATCTATCTATCTATCTATCATCTATCTATCATATGTGAAGGAGAAGTGGAAAAGGAGAAAAAATAAAGTAGAAATGAATGGGCTTGAGTAAATTTTCTAACCTCTAGGAGCCTCAGATTCTTTAAATGTCAAAGCGTGTGTGTGTGTGTGTGTGTGTGTGTGTGTGTGTATAGTGTGAATGAGTACATGTGTGGTTGTGTGTGTGTGTAACACTATTATTTCTTGTGATTATTGTAAGGCTTATAAGTACATATGTGAAAACACAGTTCCTGACCCACAGAGAAGGGGGTGACAATAGTCGCCGGGTCTGCAAGGGGGAGAAATGGAGAAGAGGGAGGAGCAGGAGGGGAGGGAGACACAGGAGAGGCCTGTCCATGGGGAGTGAGGGGCGAGTGGGGGGAGCCACGGTGCCGGGGAGCAGGGTCAGTGAAACGCTGGGTGGGGGTCGTGCAGGGGGAAGTCGAGGCGGGGAGAGCCAAGAGGCATTAGAATAAGGTGCCTCAGAAGTGAGAGGGGAAAGCGGTTCTTATGTAGCAATTAAGGAGCCTGAATGATCGTGCCTTTAAATGAATTGCGTGTTTATGTTTCGGGAGCGGAGATGTCCCCAGACTGCCTGGGGATGATTCTCCCACGGTTCACCCACCCACTCCCGGCCAAGTTGTGAAAATATATACCTGCTTCTCTCTCCAAGTCACCCTGCTAGCTAATTATCTGTAAAGATTCAAATCATGAGCTGAAACTCCAAAGCTTTTTATGGGCATCAGGGGAGTATTAAATAGGAAGATTGGAAGCAAAGTTACAGTTCCCCCAATAGATTTTGGGGGGGTTTGATAAAAATCTGCTTTTAATTAAAAATATAAAGCAACGAGCCCCCCTGTGCACAAACAGGAAAGTCTTTGGGGCTTGGTCCCAGTTGCAAACGTCTTGGGATGTCGGATGTCCACTGCCGGGTCCCGGCCTCTGCTGCCTCGGGGCGAGGGGCGGGGGTGGGGGGAGTGAGTGATGGAATGGTTGGATTTTTGGCTGAGAGGCTGGCTAATAGACACGCGAAAACAGAGGCTGCAATGCAGCTCCCGAGGTGAAGTAATGGGTTGTCTCTGTCTAGGCAAGGAATTCTGCCAAGCCCCGTGTTTTAAATAAAATGAGGCTTTTGTGGTTCTTGGCACGGGCCTGCCAGTGCAGGCTAACCTTGGCATCTGGGCGCTGGCCCTTCTCTAGAGTGGGGCTGAGGGTTGGCGCGGGCTCAGAGACTACCCAAGGGCAAGGATACCGGGCTTGGGGACCAGCCCCGCCAATCCTGCTCCTCTCTCAGTAAAGGCATCACCATCCACTCTGTTGCTCAAGCTCAAAAGCCAGGAATCAGACTTGGTTTCTTCCAGATCTCAAATCTCTCTTAATTCCATTCATTTTCCTCTGTTTTCGCTGCTACCACCGCAGGCCTGGCACCACATGTCTTACCTAGATGCCGCAAGACCCTCTTAATTCGGCCGTCTGTTCTCTCGCTTCACCCCTCCATGATCCACCAAATCAGAAGGCTTGTTTTTGAGATTGTACCTTTTCTTTTCTTTTCTTCTTCTTCTTCTTCTTTTTTTTTTTTTTTACTGTGTATCAATAGTCTGTTTCTTCTTGTTATTGATATCCCATTATAGGAATAGACTGCGATTTGTTGATCATCTCCCCTAAGCGGGACGTTCACATTGATTTTAGTTTCTGGCTACTGTGAAGAAGTACAGACACACCCTCCAAGTTGGTAAGTTGCTAAGAACGTTCGTGTTCGAGTATTTCTGTAGGCATGCATTTTTACTTCTCTTGGGTAAATATCTAGGAACTGAAGGGCTGCGTCATTTGATTTCTGTATCCTGGACTTCTTCTAAGTTTCTGTTTTTTCAAGAAGTCTTAGGTTCACAGCAAAATTAACAGGAAGGTGCGGAGATTTTCCTACTTACCCCCCTGGCCTCCCCCATGCCTGGCCTCCCCATCACCAACATGCCCCCCGGAGTGGTGTGTTTGTTACAATCGATGACCCTCCATGGACACGTCATCATCACCCATAGGTTGTCTTGGTGGTGTGCGTGCTATGGGTTCGGACAAGTGTACAAAGACATGTATCCATCATATGGTACCGTACCGGGTGTGATGATCCTCTGTGCACCTCTTCACGCCTCCCCCCGCCCAGCACACCCAGAGTGATCTTTTTGTGTCAAGTCCTCAGGAAAGGAAGTACAGCCCCCGTACTTAAAACAGGGACTGCGCAACCAGATGGCCTGGGTTCGAGTTCCGGCCTCCACCACCTGTTAGCTCTGCGTGTTTGGCAAGTGACCTAACCTCTCTGTGTCTCAGTTGTCTCAGCTGTGACACGGGGAGAAGGGTACCTACTCACGCACAATTCTGAGAGTTAAACTGATGTAAATAAAGCACTGAAACAGTATCTGATACCATACGTGCAAGTCTCGGTACGCACGCGTCACCGCGCATAGGATGGTCAGCTCTGCGTTTCTCTTAGAAACCCCGCCCCCCGTGTCCTCTCATGGCGCCAAGGTCACACGTAATGCTGGCCTCCCTCTGTTTCTTCAGCTTGCTAAGCTCTTTCTTCAAGCCTTTGGGCTTCTTCTCCCTGAACTGGGAGCATCCCGCCCCCCGGCCCCATAGTTCGTCTCCTTCTTCAGGGGTCTTTTCAAATAACACCTCTTCCAAGAGGCCTTCCATTGCAGTGTCAAGAGGGGTGTGGCTGATTGGCGTCCTCTTCTGTCCAGATCACATAGAAACCAGTGTAGAGCGGGGACTGGAGAGGAAGTACTTCCAGAGAAGGTTTTCCAAAGCGGGAATGCAAGTGACCGTGGGAGACTTTCCTAAACCCGAGGAGGAGGTCCCTGCTCACGGGTCCCTTCACTGATAGATTCCCCGGGACCTCGCATCCCCTCCGACCTGGGGGTTCACCTGGACACGGATTTCCCAGGTAAAGCTAGGAAGGGATAAGCGGGCCCCATGGTACGGTGAGGGGGGGGCTTTGGAAGCTGGGGTGGTGTGGGAGGCTGAATACGCTACACGAACAAACGAAACCAAACCAACAACGATTTCCCCCTTGGAGCTTCCAGAAGGAACCAGAGCTCTGCCAGCGCCTTGACTTTAGGCTGGTGAGACTGATTTCAGAATTCTGATCTCTATACTTGTAAGATGAGAAACCTTGCTGTCTGAAGCCACTATGTTAGTGGTACTTTTTGTTATGGCAGCAAACAGGAAACTTGTACATGCAGGTGGCACCGTGACCCCGAGGGCCCAGGCCTCTCTCTGCCTCTCCTCCCCAGCGCTGACTCTTTGTGTCCCCTTGGCCTTCTTTATTCAAGCCCAGGGGGCTTTTTCCATCTCTTGGCTGGTGTAAAGGACGTTGCAATGAACATGGCGGCACGTACATCTTTTCGAATTCGAAATTTTCTCCGGGAAATTACCGGAATTACTGGATCATATGGTAATTCTCTCTTTAATTTTTTTGAGGAACCCCCATACCGTTTCCCACACTGGCTGCACCGATTTGCATTCCCACCACCAGGGCACAAAACTCTCGTTGTTCCTGGTCCCGATTCTTGGCGTGGGCTTGTGAGAAACACGGAGTGGGCCCCATCCAGGCCTGCGACTCCGCTTTCCACTTCCTCGCTTCCCTCCAGCTTCCCAGGACCCAAGTCCACGCAGTGGTGAGATGCTGGGTGCCGAATACCAGTAGAACTCAGAATAAAAGAGAGGCCAACTCAAAGGAGTCCGGAGTCCACAGGATGGGGCTAAGGCTGGGATTCTAGATGCAGGAGCACACCAGGGAGGTAGGGCTACCAGGGAATGGTGAGCCTGGAAAACAGACGAGTGGTTGGTTGATTATAAACGGAGGAAGAAAGGCGGGACCTGGATACCTGCCTAGTTGTGGGCAACATGGAGGCCAGCATCCCTGCCCTTGCCCTGGCCTGGGATGGGACAGGCAGCTATGGCGTCCTGAACTTCAAAAGCATGCGCAGGGAGCCTACTGCCAATCAGATTGGTGGTTCTCTTTGGGAGCTATTGACCTGTGGGTCTTGGTGTTTCAGACACCAGTGGCCAGGCAAATGGAATCAGGAGTCAGGCACTGGGAAAGAAGAAAGAAGGGCAGGAGCAGAACCCAGAAGACCGGAATTAACGCCCAGAACTGGGCTCTGGGGACAGCACGGCAGGAGGCAGCTGCTGAAGACTGGAGGAAAGGGTAAGAGACAGCTCCAAGAGAATGGGCCAAAAGGTCAAGACCAGCCACCAACAGGTGCGGTTGCTAAGGTTGGAGTGGGATGTGAAGCAGGATCAACCCGAGGGCTGCAAGATGGGGTCCTTGCCTGCGGTGAGAATTGTCCCCAGAGCAGGGGCAGGTAGAGAGCAAATAAGCCCACCTCCTGGCTCGGATGGACGTGAGGACAGGGTGCCAAGTAAGCCGTGAACGTGCCTTCTTCCTATGTCCATCCATGACTCTGGTTTGGTCCGAAAAGTGCAAGCGGAAAGACTGAGGTCTGTACCTGTTTGTCCTGGGCAGCTGTCACCAGAAAGTGGACTGGATCGGCATTGAAGTCTTCCCATCAGTAATCGATAATTAAACACCTATGATAAGCAAAGCATTAAGCCAGGGCTGAGGACTTCCAACTCATCATTTTATTCATTCATTCCACAAATATTCACTGAGCATCTTCTCTTACCAGGCCCTGTTGTGGGTGCATGGGACATGGCGGTGAGCAAAATGAAGATTCACCAGGAGCTGCAGCGCAGTGGAGGGTGACGATAAGAAGCAGTCAATATCTTAAATGAATCCACTTATAGCAAATGGACTAAATATAAAGTACAGCGGAGTAACAAGAGTGTAGGAGTCACTTTGAGAAAGTGACACTTGAACGCATTCTAAAAGGAGGTAGGGAAGTAGGCCACTGCTATACCGAGTTAGGGCATTTAGGCAGATTCAACAGCCGGTGCAAAGGCCCTGAGGCAGGAGCATGCTGGAGGTCTGGCAGGTGGCAAGTGGTGGGCGGGGAGGTCACAAAGGTAAAGGGGACCAAACCACACGGGGCCTTAAGGGGCGTCACAAGAGTTGTGACTTTCACTCCCAATGCCACGAGGAGCCATTGGAGGGTTTTGAGCAGAAGAGTGACATACCGAGACATTTTTAAAGATTGTTTGGGGGCGCCTGGGTGGCGCAGTCGGTTAAGCGTCCGACTTCAGCCAGGTCACGATCTCACGGTCCGTGAGTTCGAGCCCCGCATCGGGCTCTGGGCTGGTGGCTCGGAGCCTGGAGCCTGTTTCCGATTCTGTGTCTCCCTCTCTCTCTGCCCCTCCCCCGTTCATGCTCTGTCTCTCTCTGTCCCAAAAATAAATAAACGTTGAAAAAAAAAAAAAAAGATTGTTTGGCTGCTGTGTTGGGACATCCTGGTCAGGTGATTAAGAGATAGCTCTTTGAAATGTGTACAGTCTTATCCTGGAGCTAAGTATGTGCTAAGAGCACATACATAACAATAACATAGGGGCACCTGGGTGGCTCGGTTGGTTGAGTGGCCGACTTTGGCTCAGGTCAGGAGCTCGCGGTCCGTGGGTTCGGGCCCCGCGTCGGGCTCTGTGCTTGCAGCTCGGAGCCTGGAGCCGGCTTTGAATTCCGTGTCTCCCTCTCTCTCTGCTCCTCCCCTGCTTGCGTTCTGTCTCTGTCTCTCAAAAATAAATAAATGTTTTTTAAAAATTAAAAAACAAACCAACTAAAAAATAGCAAATGCAATGGAAACACCCAGAGCCTCTGACGGTTCCAATAGCAAAAGAAGAGAGTCGGATCAATTTCAGAGGGGGTGAGGGGCGGGTGGGAATCATAGGAAGAACCTGAGACGGGCCTTGAAGAATGGGCAGGATTTGGAGATGAAGACCTAGTGGGAGGGTTGGCATGTGGGTCCCTTGTGTGGAACAGAGTGAACTCCGGCCTGGCAGGACAGCCAGGTCGCGGGGAGTGGCGATGTGTAGTTCCCGAACTGTCCCCTAGGCCAGTGGGTATCAGACCGTGGACCGCATGCCGGTCACCAGGGAGACGGTTCAGAGGCAGGTTCCTGGATCCCACCTTCGGAGATTTTGATTTGGAAGGTCAGGGGAAGGTGCATTTCGATGGGAGCACACGAAGTGACTCAATGCAGGGCTCAGAGCGGGTCGCCCGCCGAGGAATGTTGTCTTTTCCCTGAATGCAGGAGTGCAGCGGGGAGGATGTTTGGACAAGTAGGAACCAACAGGTCTAGGCGAGCCCAGAGCTCCAGAACTGGGGATTTGGCATGCTATCTTGTAGAGAATATTGGAGTCTGAGCTCCAGGTGAAGGCGCTAGCTAAGACCTGCTCTGAGGTGGGCTTATATGTAAGATTTATTTGTCAGCCACGTGCAGAGAAAGGCAAAATGCACAGCGGCGAGCGGGGTGGGGGGCGATTCCACCGATGAGTGTGCAAATCAGCCTGAATGAGGGCTAGGGCAGAGGGTAGAAGATATAGGGGTAAGAGGCACAGCGACTGGACAGAAAGAACCCCCTGCATGGGACTCCATCGATCACGCTCCCCTACTGTGTGCTTGGCACATAGTAGGTGCTCACTAAATATTTCCGAAAGGAATGGATCCACAGGACTTGACGACTGATTGGAGGTAGGGGGCAAGAGACAGAAGAGAAGAAGTAAGGATGAGGCCACTGACTGTAACATAGGGTCAAATCATGAGCGACACTGGGGATACAGAAAATAAGGAAAAGGTGCCAACACAACCCACCAAAACCCAGAAAGTGAAAGGCGATGCAACCAGAAGACCAAGGATCAGCCACACAAGTTTCACACGAGACCCAGACTGTGGGGTTCAGATCCAGGGGCCCCCTCTTCTTCCCAGCCGTATGATCTTGTATAGATGATTCACCTCTATGCGTGCCTCTGTTTCCTGGAGGTGGTTATGAGGGTAAACAAAATAAAACTTGCATAGGCGTCCAGCGTCTATCACATAACAAATGCCTGGTACATTGAGCTGTAATTGTTAAGAGTTATTTACAAGGGAAGGGTGCTCAGTTCAAGGGGAGAAGCAACATACAGCTGCACGGGGACCAGGGTGGGGCTGGTGGGCACCAGAGGCCGTGGCTCCAGCTCGCATTGGCTCCGTCTACCTTCAAACCTAAGGTCTCAGGACAGAACGATGGGGCTGGGCAGTCTGCGGGACTAGGAGGAAGGAAGCAGCTTTTTGGGGTGACAGGAGGGAGGAGAGAGAGACAACGTGATTGTTAGCGAGGAGAAAACGGCTAGACTTTGGGCTCTAAGGATACCAAGAAAATGAGCTCACAGCTTCTGCAGTGCGGGTCCTTCTGGAAGGGAGCACAGCGGACGTGCCCGGGGAGGAAAGCAGCTAAACCTGATGCCCAAGGGGGGCTTGGCGAACACTCCAGAGCTGTGATTTCAACCAATAGCCAGAGCAGATGGGTTCAATAAAACCAATGGTTATTTACATCGATGTGAAGACTGTGTGTGTTTGTTTCTGGCTCCTGGGGTCTGGAAAGGAAAAGGAGAGACTGAAATGGGCATGCGTGGAAAGGCAAGCATGGACGATCTAACAAGAAAAACATGCTGACGCTTAACATAATTCCTTTCATCCCAGGACCTGTGCGGGCTCAGCAAGGGGATCCCGAGAGGCCTCCGCAGACCTCAGACCCATAGCAACTAGAGTCCAAGGTGAGGGCCCTGGCACTCGCTGTCCCGGGGTGCAGGGCACAGAGCCCCTGCTGGGGAATGAGGAACAGCAGAGGGGCGCCCACCCCGTGCTAGCTAGCTCGTGACATTGGGGAAGCCCAGAACTGAGCTGCACTTCATTTCCCACACCTGTGAGCGGGGCAGGTGCCTCCACTCCCCTCGCTGGGTGTTGGTGAGGAATAAATGAGTTACAGTGTAGAAGGGATTGGAGCAGGGCCGGGCCTTAGGAGCGCATTTGCTATTACAGTCAGAGAAGTCCCACTTGGGTCTTTGGTGGCGGGACCTTCAGTGCAGACATTGTGCCATAGCAGGGATCTTCAGGGGAAGGTAGGACCCGCGGACCATCATGGCACCCGTGTTTGGCGCTGCGTGCGTGTGAATGAAGGAAACCTCGTTCCCAAGGCAGTGGGGGAGCCAGGAAGGCAGATCTCTCAGCCACCTCCCTGGATCCCGCAGGAAGAAGGGTTTTCTCTCCGCCCTGCAGCAGCCAGTAGCCAATGAGAAACCGTCACCACCTGTAGCTCTCATTTCCCTCCTGCGTCAGCTTTTGTTCCAAACCAAACCCCTCCCTCCCAGCTCCTCCTTTCCTCTGTGGAAGGACGCTCTCCGGCTCTGTTCTCCAAACGTGCCTTGGTTTCCCCAAGCGTGCATGTCCCGGGTTGCAAATTCCTCTGCTCTCCAGGAACAAGCTCCACAGCCACTCAATAACCTTTGTTCAATCGTTGAGGTGGACATCTCTTTCCAGGGATGGGGAGTAGGTGAATCCAGCATGATCCTGTTCAGCGCTGAGATGGCAGGTGGGGAAATCCAGGACCTTAAGGGACAGGATAAGCCAACTGGAGCCCCCTCTACAGGGGCTGGGCTCTGCTGGTTTACAAGGGGAATGGATCCCGGCTGGCTGCAGCCCTCGTCCCAGGCTCTAAGGGGGCTCTGTTGTTGCTTGTGGCTTTAGAAACCGCTGTAGGATCTCTGGCCAAAGCCTGCCTGCTTGTTCAGGGGACTTCCCTCTTTGTCTCCAGGGAAGGGAGCCTGGAAACACTGGCTGCCGCCCCGGTGAGCCTCGTACTTTGGCTGCCGGACAGTGGCAGGGACGAGGGCTGCTCCAGAACCAGCGGGAGCGCCAGGAGAATGGGGAAAGGGCCTGGCTGAGGCCCCCTAAACCTCTTCACTTCTTTTCTGGGGAGAGAAGAAAAAAACAATTAAAAGAGCACGTAGGTCTGTAAACGCCCTCGTCCACCGCCCTCAGGGGTTCCTGTGAATCAGGCCCCGCCAGACTTCACGCCAAGCACATGGCGCTTCAGATAAGACCCGGCTGCTTGTCACACTGGGCATTTTGAGAGCTCTCTGATGCTGCGAACACTTCACCAGAGCCTGTCCACGGGAAAGCAGCCTCCCACCGGTGCGTCTGTGCTCCGATTCTGGGCGCTGGGAAGCCGGACCCTCCTCCTTTACCAGCTGGTGTTGCCGGGAACCCCTCCTGGGCTGGGAAGCGTTAGCAAGTCAAGGTCTGGTTTCCCCCCTCATTTTGTCTCCTGCAATCCTGGGTTGGAGAAAGGCTTCTATTTTTTATTTATTTATTTATTTATTTATTTATTTATTTATTTATTTATTTATTTATTTTGCTGGGTAAGGACCCTGACGCAATTACTCGGAGCCAGCCGCAGAGCTCTGGCGGTGAGAGAGTGAGAAAGTGCTGTTGTGTGCATTCTCCCTGTTGTCTGCAAAAGTGCATTGCCTTTTCCAGACGACAGGGGTTTCTGCCCTCTTGCTCCTGAATCCCAAGCGGTGCCTGGCACGGCACGGGGTGGGTGCTGGTGACCCAGGGCGGAATGGAGGAGTGCACCAAGGAACCAAAGGAGCGCACAGCTAGACCACACTGGAGACAGACACGGAGGGAGAGCCTGCTGCTCAAATGACAGAGCCTAAGAGACTCAGGTAAACTCTGGCTCCATCCAGCTGCCTCTAGTTTCTGGAAAAACCCCCAAAGGCAGGGCCCGTGTGGCTGCGGGAGGAATCTCCTGAGAGCGACATTTCTCAAAGTTGGGTGACTTTGTGGGGCTTTGGTTATAGAGGATTTATTGCACCTACAGGAGTCTGAGTGGCACCAATGTTTCAGGGCAGCGTCTTGACTTCGGAAATACGGGTTTGGCAAGAGTTAGGTAAGGAGGGAGGGATCCAGCTAAGGTGGTTGGTGTTCAAGGAGAGGGCTTATTATGGACCAGAAGTGTGTGTCCCCTAAATTCATATGTTGAAACCCCAGTCTCTAGGGTGATGGCATTTGGAGGCAGGACCTTTGGGAGGTAAGATTAGGGTCTGTTAGAAAAGAAAAAACAAGCCCAAATTGGAGTCATTAACCCTCCACGACAGCAAACCGAGACTTAATTACCGCTCCAATCTCCCCAGGAATAA